AATAATGGCGCCATGATTTCCTAGCTAAGTAGAAAACTAAATGTGGCTTGTCGCAACACTCAGGTCGCTCTGCTAACGCCAAATATGCAAGCAGTCAGCCACAATGCCAAGATGGTTCAAATAATTCAAAAAAAAAAAACTAGAGGTAGTTCCCTACTTGATAACAACAAGTGCCACAAACAGTATAACAAGAATCACTCCATCGCAAAGCCCTGGCAATAATTTTCATTAAAGCGACAATGAGATCCCCATAAAAGTGCAAATTAAAAAGATACTAAAATACAAATCATAAAGTAAAAAAGTCAAATAAAATGATTCATGTCACTAAAAAAGAAATGTGCAATTACCAAAGTGTTATGTTAACAAAATATTGGCTTTAAAAAGAACATACATGTGTACATAATATACATTGTTCAAAATAGAATATTAAAATTTGGGAAGCTGGCTAGAAGAACCTTGCTCATTTTTAGCATCTGAGTCATCCTCAGATGAACTAGAGTATTTTGGATCGACCAAACCAACCAGACAAATTGATCTATTGTCGTTAAGCTCCAATTACAAAGTTGTTCATCTAGGAGTTTCATCTGCCTAGGGTGAGATGGAAGCAACAATAAGAACTCCACCTCTATCCTCATGATCTTCATTCATTCTTTTAGATTATGATTTTCTTTGACAATGACCTAACATAATTTGGTAACTAATTAGTGTTCCTTTGCCACTGTGATAAGCTTCTTCTCATCTAGCTCAGCCTGCCTCTCCGCCTCTTTGGTTGCCTTAACCGAGACCTCAGTCCTCTTCACAAGTCAGAACGCCAGCCCGACTAGTCTTGGCGCAATCTAAGGCCATTGATTGAAGTTGAGAGGCCTCCCATGCTTTCAAATGGCATCGTTCAGTCTTCTTAAATAACTTAGAACACTTGAACTCCCATAGAGACTTTGTTATGTCAATGACCAGATGACCTCCAAGAGTGCAGAAGGGTAGATTTTACCTGATGGAGAGCTGCAGTACTAATCAATCGATTGGTTGATATTGGTAAACCACTCGTTGGGGGAAATCTAGATTTTTGCCTCAAGAACAAGAGGAGGTATCCATCCCAAAGGAAAGCACCTCCATTCTATTGATGACAAAGGGGGCAGTGTGAACAGATTCGGTGGCTGGCCCTTCGCCTTCATAACGTTGAGTTTCAAAGGTTCCCCTCGAGATCGCTCTAGGGCCCAACCTCCCCAAAAATCACCATTAGGCTAGCCTCATTACTTGCTGGATGATTGAGAAATGAGGTAATTCAAATAGGGGAAGCGATTTTTCTCCTCACCCTCTTATGGAGCCTCTCCTGTCTTAAATCTACCCAGACAGTCCCTCAGCTCCTCAACAGCTAAAAGGGGCTCAACCTATGAGATAAGCATTATATTTAGCAAAGAACTTACTTTTCTTAGCAATAAAGATCACTACCAAATTTGAGACCCTTTGGGTCACTACTGTGATGACATAAATGTTAAGGAGGAACCCCTCATTCACAGAACCAATTTTTTGGCTTGTCATCATAGTATGTCTTCTCTCCACCACCATCACTCACTGGAGGATTTCATCCGCCTTGACTTCGACATCCGCCTTCCACTTGGAAAGCTGGAAAAATGCCTATTTCGACCACATAACCATCTCAGCATCAGAGGTAGACCATGGCTCTATCATCATCTGACCTGACACTTATAGAAACATGACTCGATCCACAGTCGTCCAGTCAGTTTACTGGGAACTGAAAGCAGTCAATCGTTTATGTCGACCCCCTCAAGCCGATGTAATTCACTAGCTTTCCTCTTTGGATAAGAGACGTTGAACGGAACCATCCTAATTCCCCAATCCTCGATAGAAGAGGCAATGAGGAACTTGCACCTCCAATCTTTGGTCTGGTGCTCTAAATCAACAAACTGGAACCTACAAGTTGTCAAATTGGGCATAGCCACTCAACTCGGCGTGAAACAAAATAATGTGGCCAAATGTGTTAACATACCAGGGAATGCCTTTTGCTAGCAAAAGATGATGTAGGTCATAATTACCGCCACAAAATTTGTTTTAACTTGTGCAGGGATGCCCCATACCAGTTGAAAATGGACCAGAGTTTGTGATATGGGGGTTGTCATAACCCATATTGGAACGGGTCTCGATACATCACTAAATCATTGCCACATCCATCAGCCATCCTTTCATCAAAACGAGTGGCCCGCAGCTTAATGAAAAGGTGAAAAATAAAGGTTTTTTTTTCAATAATGGTGATGTCCCACGATGATAGAACGGAGCACTCTGCCGCGGCCACCTAACCAAAAATCTAGGGGGGGTCCTCTTCGAAGCCATATGAACAATTGAGAATAAAATAACAAACACCTAAAAGCAAGAGGTGAATCAAATAGCCAAAATTGTCAAGTCAGAAGATGTGTTCATGAGTTCCTCGGTTCCCATTTATAGCAATCTAATGGAAGATGAAACGGTGCGCATAGAAATTGAGAAAGTCGTCATGTTGAACACAAACATACAAGTTTACAGAAACAAAATTTATTACAAAAATCATGATTACAAAAAAATTAGTTTGAAAAAAAATTCTTCAACAGTTGATCCCCGACCGCCTCAGTCAAGACTAATCCTCGGCCGCCTCGACTAAGACAAATCCTCTCCTAACTAGCCTTCTAAAGAAAGTCTACAACCAAGTATAAAATGATTCACTCATTCATCCTCAGAACTAACCCTCATGATAAATGCATCCTTCCAAAGCCCTAGTAATCTCACAGAGAAGATCGATAGTTTCCCCGTGCATTTCCTCTAGCCCGACTTGTAAATCCTAGCCCTGACGGGCCAAGATCCCCTTTATTTCTGACTGAAAACACGCTAGGGCCCTATAAGACATCAAACGGTCTTCAAGAGTCTTATCCTGAATCATGTCAAGTCAGACCAAACGTTTAACCACATCCTCTTACTACTAGCCATTTCCTTTGGAGTTGAAACTGTCCATAAAATCGGACGAACATCACCAATACTGACCAACAATTGATTAACGGAAGGATTCCCATCTACGAAAAAGAAAAACTACCAGAAAGCATCAAGTTAACGTGAAGGGAAGGAAAAAAAGAACAGTTTAATTTAACATCAAGCCCAACGAGGATCCAATGCTTCTACATGTTAATGATCAGATAATTTAATATGTACGTCAAAAATGTGTCAACACAAATTGCAAAGACATATCACGGATGATGCGAAAGGAGACGTAGTATTGCAGAGCGTACCAAGGATTATCCATGGTTGCATGCTCAACTGAACAGTCCTTGTATTATGAAAACAGGGCGCCTCAGATGGATGACGGAAGAATCATCCCTAAAGGATCCAACCGATCAGATCCATCCAGTTGAGCCAATTGCTTTCCAACTTGGATAGATCAGAAAGAAGAAACACTTCCTCCAACTCCAGGGCGGTAGATGTGGGCTTTCGACAAATGGTCGCCCGCCATAGCTGTCTCCCGGCCACACAGTAACCCGATCTTATGACCACTTGGTCGTGCAACCGGCCGACCTAATCTCTATTTGGCCTAAAGACAGTCGGTCGGTCACATCTATGGGACCCATGGGTCAAGCTTATATATGGACTAGAATACCCCCATCGTACCTATGTATTTTAGGGGTATGTGTAAATATATGAAGACCCATCCACCCACCGTACCTACATATTTTAGGGGTACGTGTAAATATACAAAGACTCATTCTTACAAATAAAAGTTCCATTTCATGAATAAAGATTATGTAAATTTTCCTTTCATTACTGCGGTATTGCTCTCCCCACTCTCTGTACCATCCTTTCAGGGCTTTATATCTTAGGCAGGTCTCCCATATAGATTTGGATTCAATATATATATATATATATATACTCTACATATAACATCAACTTTTAAGAGTCAATTTGAGATTAATAGATAATTATAAATTTTCACTCACAATTGCTTGATGTTAGTTATTGGTTGAATTAATGTCTATCATCACCGACGAGGCCAAGCTAATAAATTTATTTTTAATTTTAAATTAAAAAATTATAATAAATTATTAAATAAATCATTTAATTAAAAATTATCAATTTCTCAAAACACGTTTTCGTCCGCACTTGTAATATATTCCCATGGGCCTTTTAGAACATTGGCCGCTTAGTATTTTAGCGAAAGCAATTACGCAAGTACCTTGATCGAAACATTACCATATACATTCCGTCATTTTTTTTTCAAATTATCATTTAAATATCATATTTCACAATAAAATCCCAACCCATACTTTTCAGTTATCAATTCCTTAACGAACATGACATAAATATTTGATTTCGATGGTACAAAAATAACCTGATATGTCATTTTACAAATAGAAGTATTTCAGATAGTATGTATGCACATAGCCCATAAGAACAACAACACAAGGAAAGCAAGATTCCATTTTGAAGATTCATGAAAATTACATATAAAGCATAAAAGATCCAACAATTACATTGAGGCTCCCACAATTGCTTACCAGGCTAGACGAGTAAAAATACAGAAATTAAACACAGTGAGATTGATAAGTTTTTAACACCTATAAGTGTAGTTGTTCTAGATGTTCAAACCTGAGTAAAGGTTATATCCTCTCTCACCAAGGAGAAAATTTTGCGTACGTAAGACGTGCGCAGTGCTGCATACATAATGAAGATTATATCCCTTGTAACATTCATATAACCTCTATATAACCTACCTATAACCTACATGAACTTACAAATAAGTTTCGTGCTTCTGTTTTCACATATCTGTAGGTTACATGTAGGTTATATGGAAGTTATATGAAGATTACAAGGGATATAACGCGAATACAATACCGATATAATGCACATATAACCTCCATTATGTACGCAGCGCTGCGTATGTCTTACGTACGCAAATTTTTTTCCTCACTAAGAGAGTGAGAGAGAATTTAACAATTTCATATAATTATGCATTACAATCATATACTTTTATTTTGTTTTGGCAGAAAAACCAGAAGAGCATTATGATATTTTTAAATAACATTGAAATAATTGATTTTCCTTTCTACTCAGAACAGGTTAAAGAGAACAAAAGGAAAAATAGAATCCGAGTACAGCAGTATCGGTGTAATCTTTTTTTTTTTTTCTAATAAATTAATCCTTTTTCTTTTTGAACCAATTAATTTGTTCTCCATAGTAAGCTGCACTGCCCACCATTACAGCAACAGTTGCTCCCTGAAACACCACGCGAGCTCTCATCAGCTTTTGGCCCAGCTGGGAATTTCCTTGCCGAAAACTTATCAGGCCGGCTGTTAGAACGCCGGCAGTGAGAAGTGCACCTGCATGACAGGAAGTACACAGCATTCACGTTGATGAAGTTTAATAACTCGAATATTCGAGTTGATATTCGACCACTAATAGGAAAAATATAGATTAAAACTAAATTGCAAGCTTGACTTGGTAACAAAAATTTTTTTTCTTGATACATTGGTTTGGTTAAATGAGGCGATGATGATGAAAGTTAAGATACACTTTTAGATTAAATATACGCAGCAAGCACGGATGAATTTAACATGGTCCAGAAGCAATTTAAAAAGTTCAGCTAAACAATATTTGCAACTCCAATGTGCCTCGAACAGGAGGGGATTCCGAAGAGACTATTGCATAACCAAAAATAGTGGGATAAGGTTGATACTGTTGATTTATGCATTTCAAAAAAACAAGGCTTCATTTTAAATCTTTGAGCCTTCCTTATTTTACCATTATTCCAAGTCTAGCACCTTTTTCCAAAACCAAGAAGATGGCTGACATTGGGTTAGATGACATTATATACCATGTAGAAGCATGGGTCATTTAGAATATGTAGGTTTTAGAAGCATGGTTAACTAATTGGTTCATGAGCATTATATTGGACATGACTACTCATTTTAAAGGGATTTACTCTACATTATTGAGAAAAAGATTATAAGCAGTCCAACTTAATCGCACTGATATGAAAAACTCACTTCAATGTTGTAGTTTTCTTGGCATGACCCTTCACTAAGTTTTGGTTGTAGGGTGGACAGGTGTAGCTTAGAGCACAGAGCAGCTTCGTATTTTTATGTGCTTGAATATATTTAAATAATTTGGTCATCATTCGAAGTTATCTTGACGAGGCATTGGTGGCAATTCATCTAAAGCCAGACCAAGGGACTCGGCATTACATTCTGTTTTGAGTATTTTAGTTTGTTGATATTAAGATGAGTTGACTCGATGAACATTGGATCCTCGTTGGGCTGCAATAGTGAACAGCTGAAGTTATATAAAAAACAAGGAGGCAGTATTTGTAGAAGTTACAACCACTCTCAAGGAGACAGTTTCCCAACACTCGAGAGGTTCATTGGTGCTTACCCAAACAAAGTGAATTGAAAATTAAAGGAGGTTATCACTTACAAAGTTATTTTAAATATGAGGAATATTTTTTTAATAATCTAAAGTGACAAATATGGTAAATTGTTTGAAAAATGATTCTCAAGCTCCATTAATTTCCAAGTTCAAAAATCTTGCTAAACTGATCTCTTAAACAAATACAGTTGAATTACTAAGTTCACAATGTGCATAATTGTCTATTACATCACAGTAGCATCTAAGCCCTCACCCTCTTTTCTATCACTGGATTTATAGCACTCAATCCTCTCTAATTTTATTAATCAATCTTCTTAATTTTTGCGAGAGTAGATGTTTGGTGTAGTTCCAGTGGCAAACAAGATTAGAAAAAGTCGTCTTAGATGGTTTTGTCACATTAAATATCGATCATTTGATGATCTGGTTAGAAGAGTAGTTATTTTAGATTATATTTATATAAATAAAAAAAATAACACTCAAAGGACACAATGGTGAAAAAGGATTCATGTAACCGATCAAACTTAATGGGATAAAGATTGGTTGTTGTTGTTTGTTGCCGTATTGCTAAAAAACTTGAGTTTGGATACATTTGATCAACTTTCTTTCAAAGGAGCATGTTTGTTTCCACAACTATTAATGTTATTTACATCATCTCACATTGAGTTATCATTAATAAAAACTAACTCGTTTTCAATATTTGCAGTATTAGCATACTTCTCTGAAATGAAGGCAAAGCACTCACCACATTTTTTGATCCATCAAGGCAAAGCACTCCTTAGTAGTAACTACCATGTTGAATATTGACAAGTTGACATTATGTCGCCCTAGTGTTTGGCCCATTTGCAACAACACTTGTAGAAGGAAGCCTAATGAAATTAGTAGGAGGACTAGCATATCCTCTCTTCTAGAATGGCGAGTCAAACTCTTCTAGGGTTAACAAACTAGGTTAGCCCTACCACTATCATAACTCACATTGATTTTGATTATAGAATAAATCTTGTTGGAGATTTATTCCATTATTATCAAAGAGTCACATGGTATTATTGAGATATGTTATTTTGAAATAGTGGGGACTATTAACGAACATTTATATATTTTAAAGTGATATTAATGCTAGTATAGTCCTTCAATTTAATTATATTTAAAACAAGTACACAATAAATTTGGATGAATAGATAGCCACAACTTAGAAGCATAGTTTATATGGCCTATAACCCAAAACTAATTGATCCTATTCGGATCATATAACTTAATTAAGAGTGGGAGCTAATTAGCCTTTTCACATATCTAACATCTTTAATAATGTATAGTATTTTAAAGCTGGAAATCATGATGTGCAAATTGAGTAAGAGCGTTTTCACCATTTTGGACTTAAATTGAACTGACATTTAGTTGGTCTTATTATCTAGATTTGTTAAGGGTAACTCAAGATTAAAAATTTATCATGTTTTATCACCCGAGTTTGATACCTTATTAGCACATAAATCAAGGTAAAAACAATTACTGCAATCAAAGGATTGGTACCAACTGGTGGAAAATGCTCAATAATGTTAAGTTGCTTGGTGACAACCAAAGCCAAACTCAAATCATCAAAACAAATTGTGGTTCATTATGCCTACTAATTCATTGGTAAAATAACCAACTTGGTCAACCTTGCTTCTTAGAAGAGCTAATTCCTCATCTAATTTAACATTTTTTACTCATGCACTATCATATATTCCTTTTACCTTAGTATTAAGAAAATTATCAAATATTTTAAAGCATAAAATTAAGAACTATCTCTCTTTTAATCAAGTGCATGACCTCATATAATTACATAAAAGCCTTCCTGTTTGATATAAAACACAATTATGCTTTTGATGCAAGAGTTTATGCGACAAAGCGAGGGTCAAAATGGGATTGTTTTGGATGTTATATTGATTAGTATTACATAGGGAGATGTTGAGGATGTTCTACCATGGCTTGAGCTCAAATCCACCCATTGTTTGCAAGTTCAATGAAAGCATGGGTGTTCTTCAAGAAAATGAAAAGATAAATTTTTAGTATTTTAAACTTTTTCTCGAATATATAAGCACTTGAGTCCAAACTTGACGATGACAAATTCATTCAGATTTTGGAATCTATGAAAAGTTTACTCGTGCTTATACGTGTCCCAACTTTGGAGCAAGGTTCAACGGCATCAAGGAAATTAAATAATACTTTTATGTAGAACCACATGAGGGAGGCCTAGAGAATATCATTGATAATTTTTACCAGGGAAAAAAAAAAAAAACAGGAGTGATTCAAGAAGCTTCTTAAACCAAAATCTAGCCCCCAATCCAAGTCAAGAAAAATGGGTATGAATGATGTATGAAAAACCTAGACGAAGTAAGTCTCTCCACCCATGCCAAAAAATTAAGCGTGGGTGACATTGCTATAAAAGTTCTATTGGGAACTTAAGGCAACAACTATAAAACCAAGTGGCAATGAATGAGAGTAGGTTGATGCAGCTAATATGAACAAGCATGTAATACCTTACGAGAAGATTTTGTCATCGTGATAACACGTAAGCTAGGCTTTACCAACTTATCTTTCACTCTCTTTCCTCTCATTTGCCAAGATAAGATGGTATAAAAATGCATTGAAAAGGGGAACTACCCCTCCCACTAGCAATATGCAAAGTTCCTCTTTTCCTCCTTTCTTTTGAGTATAAGTTCGAAAATATACCAGAGAGAGATAGAAAAGAGAAAATTATGGGGAGGTGAAAACAAAAGGGGTGGAGATAGAGAATTCCTCCGTGGTTTGGAAATAGAAATGCATCAAAAACTTATTTTTGTGTTCCTTTTCCACAACAAAGCTTCATGAAGGAGGATATGATTATGGTAAGAAAAGTGGGATGAAAGCTAGTTATCTTGAATGTAAAGAAACTCCTTCAAGTAGTTTGCCGGTGAAGAAGAGAGAATAGAAAAAAGACAGATATAGTATTACCCAAAGCATATAATGGTAGATTTTGAAGCAAACGATTTCGCATTTTTGAAAGTCAAACCTACGAAAAATATTACTAGATTTGGCCAAAAATAGAAATTAACTCTAAAGTACATGAGACAATTTGAAATAATTGAAAGCGTTAGAAAAAATACTTATAAATTGGCCTTAGCTGCGAATATGTTTGCTATGCACTATTTTTTATATAACAATGATGAGGAAATGGGTTACAAATGTAACCTAAATTATATTGAACCAAAAATATTAAAATTTGGTATTAAAAAGCCAAGAAACAGGCAGATTATCTATGCTAAAGACAAACATCAGAAAAAAAAGAAAAGCAACTGGGTAAGAAGGCATGACACAAGATAAAAGTTCCTCATTTAAATTCTAACAAAAATGGTAGAAACATCCAAAATTTAATAAGACGCCTTAAAAATTTCTCATAAAATTTGTATCAAACTTTTCAAATATTCCCAAAATGGCAAAACATATTTTTATAAAATTCTACAATTCCTTATGATTATTTTGACAAAAGCAAGTACATATGTAAGAAAAATATATTAATATTTATAAATTATGATATTAAACAAAATAACTTGCACAAATAATTTATTAATATCAGTGTTGTAGGGTTTAAAATTTTATTCAACCGTTTTAGTTTTCTACACTTATCATGGCAACAACTGTGGATCTCCCTTGTGGGTATGACAGTTTCAATTAAAGAGAAAGTATCTCCACCCATGCCACAAAAAGTGGGGGCGCATGTAAGCTATATCGGGACCTAAACGTAAAGACTATAAACCATTAAAATCAAGGTGGCAATGAAAAAGTAGGTCGATGGGGCCGTTTGGTAGCAGGATTTAATCTAAATCCTGCCAAACAGAAAAACTGACAACTTAAATCTTGCAGCATTTTAAATCCCATTTCTCTTCTATTTTGTAGCATTTGTATGAGTCCCGGAGCAGCTCATTTGATCACAATGGGGATT